TTTCCTGGGTCCAGGGGACCCACTTCCCTCCTTCTTGTCTTCCTCCCATTGCTACATTCCAGCTGCTGAATGGTCACTCTCAGAGAGGCTTTTTTTCTGCAGCTTACTGCTCTGCCATTTTGGTCTTGATTTATTTATATATTCTGAATACTAATGATGTGTCAAATAAAGATGTAGTTAAAGATTTACTTCCACTGTGTAGTCCACCAAAATTATTTGAATTCTGCCTATATACAGGATCTTGTGGAAGCATTAAGGACACTGTTATCTTATGAGTCATGGTCCATTTTTGCAGAGCTTATGTCCAGTTAAGCAGACCGTTATTCAAACAACAGTTGCTCATAAATGTGTTGTTACAAACTGACCAGTACTTGATGGTAGAAAAGCAGAGGATAACACACAATATATTGAATCACCCTTTAAAAATTAAAAAGTCAATTTATTAGAAATGAATTCCTAGTATCTTAATATGTATGTTTCTTTTCTGAACTTTGAAGTTTCTTTTTATCTGAAAGACTCAGAGTAGTTTATACAAAAGAGAGAAGGTGTTCAATGACAGGCTTTTAAGTCCTTCATTTCTGTGAAGTTAATCACTTTCCTGGTGTGTAATGTAAATCAACCCTATATATAGGCTATTACAGGCTATATAAAGGGTACTGTAGATCACTAATTATGCTCATGAAGATAATTTTTTCAAGAGAAAAATTTCATGTAATTATATCCTGTCATGTCTTAAAATATAACTTAAATAAAAAATAGTGAAAATCTTAAATAAAGATGTAGGGGCTGGGGATTTAGCTCAGCGGCACAACGCCTGCCTGGCAAGTGCCAGGTCGTGAGTTTGATTTCTGGTACTGGAAAACAAACAAATAAACAAAAAAAAAAAAAGATGTGGAGGAATGGGATCACTCATAGGTTTCTGGCAAGAATGTAAAATGTTAGTTTCTCTGGAAAATTCTATGCACAAATATTTATAGTGACTTTAAATGTAATAAGCAAATTTTGGAAACAACTCAGGTATTCCCTAATGGGCAGTTGGTTTAAACAAACTGTAATACATCTATCCATAATATGAAATCTTATTTAACAATAAAAAGGAACAAGCTATTGATGAAAGTCATCAACAGAGTTTCTTCATCAAGAGTCAAGGTAAATCAAGAGTTAGGATGAGCTAGAGTTGGAGATATAGTTCGGTGATCAAGTCCTTGCCTAGTATGCATTAAGTTCAATCGAAGCACTACACACACACAAGCCTGGCTTTGAACACATTTACGCCTTCATTCTTGCCACTTTCTGAAGCAGTTCTGGAAGTCCTCTTTCTTGAATGTCTTTAGTTGCACTGTCATGGCTGCCTTGATTTCTGAATCAATTCAAATTGTTTACTTGTTATGGTTAGTTTGCCGTTAGAAAAGAGCCAGAAGTTGTGAAGTGCCAGATCCAGTGAATAAGGTACACGGGGTACACCATGATTTTATCTGACAGAATTTGTGGCAAACTGTTTTGATTGTAGTCAGAACACCAAGGCAGCCACAAAGACACTCATGAAAGAAGAATTCCAGAACTGCTTCAGAAAGTGGCAAGAATAATAGGACAAGTGTATTTGAAGTGAGGGGGAATATTGTGAGGGGGACTAATGGCATATGCTTCTTACTATAATAAATTTTAAAAATTGAAATACACACAGTAGTTTTTGATCATCCTTTATAAGTAGATATAAAAGGACAATACAAAAGAACCTTGTGGTGTTCTGAATCTAATCTCTCTGGTCTTGATTACATCAATGTTAATATCCTAGTAGTTATAGTGTCCTGCAGTTTTGCAAGATGTCACTGCTGAAAGAAAACTGGATAAAGGTTATATATAATCTTGCTGTATTACTTTTCACAAGTTCATGTGAATCTGTAACAAACCAACAAAGACAGCTTTCCAAGAGGGGAAAATGGCCCCAGATTGTCTAAGAATGCTACCATAATGCATAGTTGTTCTACCACACATCATGTTGTTTACCAAAAGATAAGTCATTTGCCTATAGGTAAATATGATATTCATTAAGGAATACAGGATCATCTAATCTGAACCTAGGACCTGAACACATTTCTGCCAGCTTGTGACACTCAGTCTGGACCTGGCACTGACAGTTCCTCTGATGTATTAGTGCTACAGAGTCTGCAGTGTAGGAGACCAATTGAAAGGAAAATTCCTTATTCTTCAGTGCTCTGAAGATCTCTTAGGTACTTAAAATGGCTTCAGTAATATGGAACCTTGATGTGATACAATTTTGTGATGCTTCTGGTTTTTCTAAAAATCAAGAGAATACTCCTCCTATCTTCATAGTTTGTGAAACATCTCTTACCTTTGCCCCTTAATTGTCATCTCTCTTGCCTTTTCTCTGTTCAACAAATGCATCAGGGGATTCTTAATTTAGTAAAATAGATTCACGTCACTTTTGCTGCTAAGAAAAAAGAAAGAACAACTCTGTGAACCAATAGTACCTGCACACCTGGTATAGAATCCTCTCCAGGATTTGATGGTCCCAGAGCCTTCTACCATGTGAATGATGAAGCCATGATCCTCTAGGGACCTGAGCCAGCCCTGCTTTTTTGCCTTCCTATAGGTTTTCCTTAATGATTTGTCCCATTGTTCTGTAAATATTGTCTAGTCATCTCTGAGGCTGTAATAACCACTTTTTCCAGGAATAAGATAGAAATGAGTTAACTCTTCACTTCAGGGGGACCTCAGGAGTGCAAAGGATCATGGACTGCGTGTGTCCTTGTCTGCACCATGCAGCTGGGGCACAGCTCCCCTGGGCTTTGCTCCAAGGAATCCCAGAGCTAGATTGATGCCCAGTACTCAGTACACATAGGTTTGTAACTAACAGCTGCACTTTGACAGGTCCTTCGTCACTTCTGTTTCAAATGCTTGTGTAAGAAATACACCACGGGAGTTCTAAGAAAAATTTTTTGACAAATGTTAATAGGTTTTTAGACACTCAAATTTCATTGCACTACTTGAAAACTAAGAGCACTGGCTTATGTATATACCAGAAAAGTTTACTCATACTCCTACACTGTACACACTACACAAGAGTTTGAAAGCTTTTATAAGAGCCCCTATTTGTGGATACTGTCTTAGTTATTTTTCTTGTTGCCAAGACAAAATACCCAATGCCCAGAGTTAAAGGAGGAAAGGTTTATTCGGCTCACAATTTGTAGATGTTTCAGCCCATAGTTGGCTGGCTCCGAGCCAGGGTGGCACATGGCAGAGGGGCAACAGTTCATGGCAGTTGGAAGGCAGCAAAGCAAAGGGGGAAAAGACAAGATGTTTTTTGTCCCTTATGTTATATTCAAGCTACCCACCCTAGGGCAGAGCAGCACTCATATCCTTAATGCTAGCCAAAACTATGCCAAACCAATCAGTAGACTGATTTACTAATCACACACCCTTAGTCCCAGCACCACATACTATGTTCATCTACCTCTAAAAAACCCAGTCGCCATGACTGCCTGAGGCTTTGGGGGGACATTTAGACATAAGCCATAACATTTTATATAAGTTTGTCATTTTCTGGGTTTTTCATTCTCAGTGCTGTCTTTGGTTATCATGAAAGTCGTGGGCTTTTAGCTGGTTTGGAGGTTGTCAGAGGGATGGAGCAGGGCAGAATTTTTCTTCCTAATTAGTATTTTGAAAGTCAAAGCAAAGCCAAGAAACATTTGTTGATTACCTACTTTACATAGATATTGTATCAGGCTTTGGGAAATGTGAGCAAGCAGCATAAACCCAGCCCTTGCCCACGAGTAGCTTCCAATCTACCAGCAGGAGGTATATAAACAAGCTCAATATAAATATATTTAATTAATATTAAATTTAATTAATTATATTTAATTATAAATTAAATATAATTATAATTGATCATGAAGTTAATTATATGAACTTAATTAATTAAATTTAATTAATATATGCTACTTGGTAATAGAACTTATGCAATATTAGTTTGCTCTGTAGTAAATGAATTATATTGTAGTAGTTGGCCTGAGTTTATAGAGAAAGAGTAGAGGACTCCACTGATTTCAGTAGAAGAAGAGAATAATTTAAATTTTAGTTACAAACAGAAGGCCTCATAGAGACAGAAATGATTCTGGAGAAGAGTATCCATGCTAAAGATGCTACTTCTAATTTTCTAAGGAAGATAAATTGAATGTCACGTAACTAGTCCTTCCCAGCCAGCATGTCTATCAGCCAGTATGTTAATTTTCTAATTATAAAATTCTTTATTTCCTGAAGTAATTTCAAAATATTTTTTTCTCCCTTCCCCAGCTCTGTCAGTTCCAAGCCCTGTGCCACAGCATGGTAGTTCTGAGAGGAAAGTGTGAAGAACTTTCATATTGCACAGGTGTCTTTGGTTTCAACCTTACAAACTGTCCTGGTGAGAGAAGCTTCATGGGCCATAGCCAGGAGAAAAATGGGGCAGATATAGACAGGGCTAATGAAACACTGTCCTCCTCCGTGGACCATGTCGCATACATTTTTTTCAGTGTCACTGTGAGATGGAGAAATTGAAAAGCTAGCTTAGATTCCTAGAGGAGGTAACAGTAAGATTTCACTTACAGTGTGTTTCTTTTTCTAACTAAATGTCTTTCCAGATAGCCTGTCTAGCTCATTAAGCCTTTTCCTAGCCATGATTGCTCTGTCACTGCCTCTGTATGAGCAAAGGAGGTCAAGGTACACCCAGCTAGGGTCTCCTGTCTTCTGATTATTTCACTATCCTAGCATCTCTGCTTAGAGAGATGAAGAGGATGAGCATAGTTGCTGTGATTAGTACTATGAGATCTATTTATGGATTTGATTGGATTGATTATAATTCTGCATAGATAAAATGTCTTACTCAAATTCAATAGAGATTTATGATACACGTATTTTTAAATCCCCCTCGTGTCTAGAAATGTAATCCTTGGTAGTTTGAGCTTATTTGTAAGTCTTAACATTTTCCCTCTTTTTTGAAGGTTGCTGGACATTGAGAGTGAAATGGTCATGTTTGCTGCAATCTATGCTGGAACTGGCATCGCAGTACTTATTTTGGGATATATTCAGGTTAGTAACTCCTCCATTTCATTTAAGATTAACATCTGGGCTCATGGACATGACAATGAAATGCAAATGGTTGTTTTTGTTGTCTGAATACTCTGAGTAGCTTTTATTCTTTAAGAAGCCCTAACAACCACAATTCTATTTTCATGAGGACCTGAGAGAATTGGGAGGATTCTTCTCAGGAGACAACTGAAGAGGTTACAAGAACTGTCCAGATAGGTGGAGAGTGAGATTTTAGTAATAATATCCTGTTCTCCCTCCTTTCCCCCACTCCATCCTGTCTTCTGAGCTCCAAAGGGAACAGCTGTGAGTGTGTTTGCAGGAAAAGCCATAGGACCCTGGAGAAAGCCTGGATCATGGTGGTGACAGAAAGCAAAGTGTATTTTCTTTTTCTCCTTTATTGCTAAAATCCCACCAAACTGCCTTCCATACCAAAGTCTGTAAATATGAACCTAGAGCATATTCTTGATTTAGACAATGGACAGGATCAGAGTTAACTCTTATTAAGGAAGAAAAATATTCATTTTTTGCTGCCTTCTGTAGAAAAATATAATGACTCCATTTCCCCATTTATTCAAGAAGAGTTATTCCAAGTAATGATAGTTGCAAAGAAAAATAAATCCATTTTTTTCTCATTCTGGTACTTTTCATTACAGACTTTTTTTTTTTTTTTTTAGTTAGGGGAAATCTATCAGCAGATTAGATTCCTGACTTATGTCATCATTTTTGTCTGATATTTCTCAAAAACCATTGCTTGGAGTCTATACATGGATACTTTCCCAGGGGAAAATGTCACTCAGAAATGGTATGCAAAAAATAGTGACTTAAGAGCAATAATGTCTTATATTTGGTGTTGGAAACCTTATCTTACTCATGTAGAGAGTGAAGTGTAATACAGCAAAGTCCACAAGTCAGGGGCCTGATGACAGGTAGAGCTGGCTGTAGAGCTGGCTCTAAAGCTGACATCTCTCCAAAGATGTCACCTCCACCTTCAGCAGCAGGTGCCAGAGCTTAGGACTTTGTTCCCAAGAAGCGGCACATTGGGGATTATTTTTTCATTTTTAAAAACCACAATATGGAGACTATCTGCTTATGAAAAGAGAGGTTAAACATTTTTAATATCACAATGCTAACGACTGCCTTTGTCTTTTCAGATATGCTTTTGGGTGATTTCTGGAGCTCACCAGGTAAAAAAAATGAGAAAAACTTACTTTGGAAGAATTATGAGAATGGAAATTGGATGGTTTGACTGCAATTCTGTGGGGGAGCTGAATACAAGATTCTCTGAGTAAGTGGCTGGAGGAACAATATTTTAATGTGTTATGTTGTATAAGAAAACTCTTGTTATTAAATTAAGTAACAATTTGAGAACATTTGCATTGGATTTGTGTGCATTGTCTCGTGTCGTGCTCTCAGAGATAGCATGGCATTTTCATAGGCAATGCCTTATAAATATGGTTATTAAAAATTGGAAGCTGTGGTGCTCCAGTTTGATTTAGAGATCCTTGATCAAAATGTTAGAAATGAAATACTATAGCAGAGTATTTTTATTTTTTTTAATTTTAATTTTTAATTTTTTGGTTTTTCTCCGGTACTGGGAACCGAACTCACAACCTTGCGCTTGCCAGGCAGGCACTTTGCCACTGAGCTAAATCCCCAGCCCCTAGCAGAGTATTTTTAAAAATGGGGTTATTTGGTCTCTGGAGGAGAAATGGAGAGATGGATGTCATAATCTATATGTAATGAAAAACAGTACAATTAGAAACAATGATCTTGCTGCACGTGTGGAGGCTACTTCTGAACACAAAACCAAAACAAAAATTCCAAAAATAATTTGAGAAAGATTCAAACTAAAAAAAAAACAAAACTGGATTTAAATCCAATTTATACTCACATACATTTTGCATCATTGACAGCCCACCTCTGAAATTCTGAATGAGGCCTGAGTAATTAGAGCCAGGTGAACATTAACATTAAACATTGAGACCCATGAAAGGATGCACTAAAATGAAAGGTCAGGCGCCTCGATTCCAGCACTTTTTCTGCCCCTTACTTACTGTGACCTTGAATAGATATTTGACCTTGCTTGAACACAGTCAACACTGGGCAACGTCTTGTTTTAGTCGTGCTGTGATGTTCCAAGCCCTATTTACTTCTTTTAGACAAGAGTTAAGGAAATGTTCTTAGGGATATGAATTAACATACTTCTGATGTACTTACTTTATACTCCAGCATTTAAGGGACTTACAATCTAGTAGGAGGGGTAAGAGAAGCAAGTAAGCAAACACTTAGGGCTGCCATGGATTTCTTATTACTTGATAGGTATTGTTCTACTTGCTTTATGCACGCTAGGTTAATCCTCATTACTACCTTCTAGGGTGGGTTGTATCTCATTTTATAGGTGGGGAAACTAAAGCACAAAAAATTTAAGTAAATTGCCCAAGAAGAGCTTGTATTCAAATTCAGAGAGTCAGTGTTCTTAGCCACTATTTTCTACTGCTTATAAGCAGAATTCAATAACTACATATACATATGCGCCTACATGTATGCAACTAACTGTGTTGCTATGGAAACACAAAGGAGGATATTACTTCTCCCTGGGAATCATCCAATACTGATGAATGAGGTGAGATCTGAATAGAATCTTGAGGCAGAAAGGATTTAATAAGCATGAAGAAGGAAAGAAGGTCTCTGCAGGGTAGACCAGAGCTCTTAGCTGTAAAGAAAGAAACACACAAACAAGGTGGTTTTCAAAAGCCTTTGTCAAAAAAAACCCAAAAAACCAAAAACCTTTGTCAACACTGAATGGGCATCATGTAAGAAAGCTGAGTAAAGACAAGCTGAACTGACCATAGCAGAGAGGCTTGAGACCATCCCAAGCTGCAGCAAATTTGCCAAGAGTTGAGAAGCTGTTATGTTACCAAAGGGCAATGATCATACAAAGAAGGGATTGTTTAGAAGGGAAAGCGTGAAATGTTTCAGCAAGACATTTGAGTTGACCAAATTCAGTTTTTAGTGATCCAACTTGCTCTTGTTCCAGTGATATTAATAAGATCAATGAAGCCATTGCTGACCAACTGGCCATTTTCATTCAGCGCATGACCTCGGCCATCTGTGGGTTTCTGTTGGGATTCTTCAGGGGCTGGAAACTGACCTTGGTTATTATTTCTGTCAGCCCTCTCATTGGGGCGGGAGCAGCTGTCATTGGTCTGGTAAGCATGCCTTTTCCTTCTGTCCAGGAGAACACATTTGTACTCATAAACAACCAAAAATACACAGTTTGATTTTCTTCTGGGTGTGTTTAGTCAATCTAATTATCACTATTTTGATATAATCTGTTTGATTATTCCCCAAGATCAGATAATGTTCCAAAGAGTTGGAATTAATTATATTTAAATAAGATAAATATTATACCATCAGCAAACAAGTGCATTTATTGAGCATCTTCTATTTTGCCAGGTACTATTAGGAGCTTCCTATTCATTATTTCCAACCCTTACTACAAGCGTATAAAGAAAGCAATGACAGCATTTTAAATATAAGGAACTGAGACTCAGAGAGGTAAAAGGACTTATCTGGGACAGCACACGTGGTGGAATAAGATTCAGGTTCAGTGGAGCTTGACTCCAAAGCCCCACCTATTCTTCAATCTGTTTGTTGTATCCATGTTCCCCTACCTCAGATGCTTTCTTCAAAAAGGCACATTGACGGCTGGGAATATAGCTCAGTAGCACAGTACCTGCCTGGCAAGCATGAGGTCATGAGTTCAATTCCCTGTACAAAAAAAAAAAAAAAAGGCACAACGAATATACCCAGATCAGTACTAAGTACATAACAGAAATTTCTCTAGTCTTAGCTAGTCCATCTGACCAGTTTCAGAGAGAGGTTATCTGAACCATTCTGAGTGTTATTCCTGCTACCATCTCTGTTCCTCAGCTATTTAGGCCAAGACAAAGCATAGAAGTAGAAATTTGGGGCCACTCCACTTAAAAACACTTCCAAGAACTGTGAAATTATTTCTTCATTTTAGAGCAGTCACATTAGATAGCAGGTGATGGTATCAGACATGCTAAAAATTTATCATAATAAATGCAAATAAAGTTTGAGTTAAAGCTACATGGCACTTAAATATCATTGGGCAACAGGTACCAATCTCCATGATAGTATTTTCTAGCTGAACAGTCTGATCCACTGGCTATGTTACTTAAACATTTCCCAGATAATATAGAAAACAGATGAAAGTGATAGTAGTAAAGGGGTCATTCTGCCACTTCACTCTGTCACCACCTGGCTCTACCACTAACAAGCTTGTGTGACTGAAGAACAAGTCATTCAACCCATCAAAGCCCCAGTTTTCTCATCTTGAAAATAGGTATAATCATTTTGATGACTCAGAGCATAACCCATGTTATGTACTTAACCCAGCACCTAGGCCAGAATTAATTGCTAAAGAGATGTTTTATTATTATTTTTATCTGTCTACTACATCATACCAGCTTTATAAACACTTTCTAGCTATGCTCCAGGGAACCCTCAACCTCCACCAAATGGCATCAGGGGTCCTGCAAACATTTGATTCTTTCTCCCCCCAAATACATATAATCTCTTTCTTCAAATCTGAGATAAATTAATAATTTATGTTAATTATAAATTAATAAATTATGTTCCAGTGAATCTTATGTCACGTTTTAACATGTTGGAGACTAAAAGCATTGCCTGATTCACTTGGTTTTAAGCATGCTTAAGGGTACAGTTTCTCTCGCCACATCAGCATCCATGTTCTAACTCTCGTCCATGTGTCACTGCTGTGGAATGCTGGAGCTCTGCGCCTGTCTCTCCATGCATGCTGGTGCCTGTAAGCTGATATGAACAACAAGACTCAAGTCAAAGGCAGGACACACACAATAGACAAAGACAAGCAACATATGACATATTAGAAACTATCGTGGGTTTTGTATGCCTTCGTCAGACTATAATTTAGTTGCTACAGTTCACTCAAAATGATGTACAATTGACCTGGGACTTCTATCTCTGGAGTTATCTCTGCAATGTGATGGCTCTGCCTGCTCCGATCCTCTCTCATTTTATACTCCAATCAATTATGCTGCCCACATGAGTCCCCAGCCTTTGCCTGTGGTGTTTCTCTCCAAATTGTGCAATGGTTCCTGAATAATATTTGTGAGAAACAGGAATTTTGGATCTCAGTTTAAGTCCGGTGAGAAATATGAACACTGTCAGATATTTCCTAGTACATATTTCTAAAGCTTCTGGATCAGTATAACTGAAGTGTTCTTAGATTAATTAATGTGCTACGCCAATAACAGATATCACTTAGAACTATTAATTTCCTCATTACTGTACGGCAAATGCATATTCTAGGAATTGATTAGATCAAGAGTGTGATCAAAATGACAGCATCATTCATAATGCCCAATTGCAAATTTTAATGTTGATGAAAATATTCTCATTTTCCATAATATTTGCTTTTCATTTGCACATTTTGTGAAATGTGACTTCTTATACAGTAACTATATTGTTAAAAACATTATTTTACTTATTTTAGAATTCTATCTAATATTCTGTTTTATGAGAGTTTTGGTGCTAAGAGTTTGGGGAAACTGTTGGAAGATAAACTCCCCTCGTGTGGATGTTTTTTTATGTATTTTTAGATTTCTGTGTTAGTTGTTCTACAGTATTTGCTTTTCCTCATTGTTTCTTAATCTATTCCAAGGGCTTCTTTTACAGTTAATTTTGACTAAGACTCAGTTCAAGTCCGATTTTAGAAAAAGTAACTTATTTACTGTTAAGCACAGATGTCCTTTCATTTCCTTTCGTAAAGATCAGAACCGTAGTTAAGTCCCTACAGTTCAGACAAATGGTGTACTATTTACCTAACTCTTTTTCTTCTGGAATTACTTCTGCAGTGTCATGCCTCTGCATGCCGTGATCCTCTTATTTTATACTCCAACCAAGCCTAGTGCCCACGTGGACCCCCGTCTTTGCCTGTGGTGTTTGTCTACAAATTGTGCAATAGTTTCTGGCCAGAAGCAATGAAATATGACCTGATTTGATGTGGGAACCTCACTAATATAATGGCTGAAAGACTCAGTGTTACAGATTGACTTATTTGGGTATTTGAACCTAACTTTTAATTGAATCATTTTGCTATATATTTTTTAAAAAAAGCACCCATAGGTGACATTTGACGTACACCAAACTCAGACCAAGTTTTTTCTCCTGTGTTACAGTGAGAATCTAGTGTTCCATTAAACCATGCCACTTGTTTACCTCTGTTAAATGAATCACTGAATGACAGGCTAACTTACTGATAACCCAGTTTTCGCTTCTTTTGGATTTTAGAGTGTGGCCAAGTTCACAGACCTTGAGTTGAAGGCCTATGCCAAAGCAGGGTGTGTGGCCGATGAGGTCATTTCATCTATGCGGACAGTGGCTGCTTTTGGTGGTGAGAAAAAAGAGGTCAAAAGGTTGGTAAAACTCCACCACTTCTCTGAATTTGCCTGAACAACACAGTACCCTGACATTTACTTGTCTTTCACGAAGTGGAACATCTACAGTAAACCGAGGAAGCATTAATTCAAGAGATAGCTGAACACAGTAATTTAGATTGGTCAAAACACAAGAAGCCCCAAAACTTTAGCAACGTATTTCTGAGGATACTGCAACTGATGATTTTTGAAAGCTAGCTTAGGTTATATATTTTTTCAACTCTGATGTATGTATGCCCATATAGTAAAGTTCATGCTAATCTTTAACACTGTTTACTGCTATCAAAGAAAAGTCTACATGAGATATTACAACTCTGAAGCACTGAAACCACGGAAACACAAAGGATCCAATAAGTTGGATAGCCTAGAAGAAATAGATATACAGTGTTCCTCAAAACATACATTGAATTGTGAGGCTATGGAACTGAACAGGCTAATAGTACACAGGGACAGAGTCAGTAACAGCAGAAAGCTCTAGTATCAAAGAAAAGACCAGGACCTAATAGCTTTACTGCTAAATTCTATGAAACATCTAAAGAAGAACTAGTATTAATCCATAAAAAGTTCACTTTATAGTTCCAGCATTACCCTAACACAAAGCCAGACAAGAATATTACCAGAAAAGAAAATTATAGGTCTCTATCTCTGATGAACACAGATGCAAAAATTCTCAACAAAATATTAGCAAGCCAAATTCAATAGCTCCCTGAAAGGAACATTTCCCACAATCAAATGGAAGTTATCCCTGGGATGCAGGGATGGTTCAACCTGAACAAATCAATAAATGTGATACATCATGTTAACAGGATGAAAGACAAAAATCATAAAATCCTGTCAACAGGGGCTGGGGATTTAGCTCAGTGGCATAGCGCCTGCCTGGCAAGCGCAATGTCGTGAGTTTGATTTTTGGTACCAGAAAAAAACCAAAAAAAAAAAAAATAAATAAAAATCCTGTCAGCAGATATTTAAAAAGCATTTGGCAAAATTCAACATGAATTCATGACAAAAACTCAACAAATTAGTTATAGAAAGAAGGTGCCCCAGTTCAATAAAGGCCATATATGACAATCCTGCAACTAAAGCAAACCCAATGGTATGAAAGCTTTTACTTTAAGATCTGGAGCAAGGTAAGGATGCCTACACTTTCTACTCAGCATGGTACTGGAAGAATTAGCCAGAACAATTGGACAAAAGAAGGAAATCAAAGGAATTTAAACCAGAAAAGAAGAAGGTCAGTGGTCTTTACTTTTGGATGGCATATTACCTAGAGAAAACCCTGAGCACTTCACCAGAAATCTGTTAGATATAATAAACAAATTCAGTAAGGTTTCAGTATACAAAATCAATATATAAGACCGAGTAACATCTCTATACACTAATAAGTGAGAAATAAATAACCTCATTTACAATAGGTACAAAAATTTAAAATATTTAGGAATAAATTTAACCAAGGAGGAGAAAGTTCTATATACTGAAACTATAAAACCATTTGTGAAAGAAATGAAAACACAGATGGACAGGTGTTATGTTTATGGATTAAAAAATGACTGTTGCAAAAATCTGAATACCTCCAAATGCAATCTATGGTTTCAATGCAATCTTTACCAAAATTCCAATGACATTTTCCATAGAAACTGAAAAAAATCCTAAAATGTATATGCAACCACAAAAGACTCCAAATACCATAAGCAATGTTGAGGAAAAGGAACAAATCAGAAGCATCACATAACCTAATCTCCAAATCTACTATATAAGTATAGAAATAAAAGCATCATTGTTCTGGCATAAAATATACACTTAGACCAATGGTACCCAATAACAAGTCCAGAAATGAATCCATTCATTTACAATCAATTGATTTTTTAAATAAAGATATCAAGAGCACACAATAAGAAGAGGACTGTCTTCTTAATAAATTCAGTTGGAAAAACTGAGTATCTACATGCAGAAGAATGAGATTAGATCCTCTATCTCCTTTCATGTATAAAAATCAATTAAAAATGAATTAAGGACTTAAATGTAAGACGTAAAACTATGAAGCCACTAGAAAAAAAATGTACGAGAAATGCTTTGGGACATCGGAATAGGCAATTATTTTTGGATAAGATCCCCAAAGCACAGGAAGTAAAAGCAAAAATAGGCAAATGGAATGGCACCAAAGTAAAAAGCTTCTGCACGGCAAAGGAAATAACAATGAAAAGAAAACCTGCAGAATGAGAGAAAATACATGTAAACTATACTTCTGACAAGAGGCTAAATATTTAACTTTTTGGCTGTGGGGCAGATGGGTGAGTAGATGTAGAAGAGTTGATGTGAACTCTAGTTTCAAGACTGGGGGGCTGGAAACATCCGCTAGTCTGACCTGCTTATCTGGAAACAATTGCATTGCTATGTTATGCAAGAAAATAATTCAAACACAAACAGTACTAGAGCCATCGTGTCCCAACACATATGATAAAAGCTTATACCAGCTGCTACTGCTATTCATCGAAGCTACAGTCAATTTACAAGGCCTTGTTAAGTGCCATCCTCTCAATGGGTTTCATGGCCAGGTTCAAACAAACTTTAAATAACTATACCGAGGCTATTGTGGGTTTCTTTCCCTGCAGCTGCTCTGTGCTTGGGGTGACTTTAGATCATTGAGTACCCCCTTCATTGTGGCCTGTTTGCTGAGATCGACTTAAACAATTTCTCTTCACAGGTATGAAAACAATCTTGTGTTTGCCCAGCGCTGGGGAATTAGAAAAGGGATGGTGATGGGGTTCTTTACTGGATACATGTGGTGTCTCATCTTCCTTTCCTATGCGCTGGCCTTCTGGTACGGCTCCAAACTCGTCCTGGAGGAGGAAGAATATACTGCAGGAACCCTTGTCCAGGTACTTTAGTTTTGTTGACCTGAACATAACCGTTTCTTGTTGGCATCTCAGAAGAGCCCACGGGTTAGACTTGTGCTGCATTCCTTTAGTATCCAAGGGAGCAGGAGTCCATCTCTAGGAACAACAATGTTAAGCATTTATAGCATTTGATTGGTAAAACTAGTATTTTAATGATTCCAAATTAACTGAAGACTTCATAGCTATAAAATGATGATGTTTCTGGTTGGGTCCAAAAGATAATAATGCTACGAAAATGGAAAGTTCAATTTATAAATCATATGATTGAGCTTAATAATAGTATGAGATGTGTACCTAAGGGTCATATTTGTGAAACATGAGTTACTGAAATATCAAGCCAATAATATCCTCAACTGAACAGAAAATGCAAATATCGTCCATTACTCACCTATGTTATGGCACGCCATTGCCGATGTCATAGCTACTTTAATTTTCAGTTTCCTTTTAGTTATTCATTTAACAACTAATTATTGAGCATCTACTATTACTAGGCCCATCCAAAGTGTAGAGAATTCAACAGTGGCAAAAGAAATGTGTTGTTTTTTTTGCCCTAATTGGATGTACAGTTGTGTGAGAAAGACAAGCAATAATGAATCCTGTACATATACAATGCAAAATGGGGACATGAGCTAGAAAGTAGAGGACAGGGCCCTTGACAGTGAATAGAAAGGTAATTAAGTGTGGCTGGATCAGGGAAGGCTGGTCATCCTGTTCCTTCTCCCAAGGCCTTTCTTCCTCAGTTTACGGCTGGCCCTGGGCCACTCTGGGTCATTGTTTGAAATCTCAGCTGAGGGGCTTCCTACACTCTCTTGTGGCATCAGTATGTTTCCTTACAGCATTTGTATCCCACGGAACATTTATGTTCACTTACGCTTATCTCCCTCTCCTCCTGCCCCGCATGCAGTAAGGTCAAAGTAAAATACTGACTTCATCCCAGGGGATGGGAAATAACTTCAAAATATTTTAGCTGCAGATTCTGGTTGGAACAGGAACAATTAAACTACAAAAAAAAAAAAAAAATCAAAATCTTTTATACCAGAAATTTGCTAGCTGACAGCTTGTAATTTGAGATCTACAGCTTTAATATAAACACATATCTAGGGAAAATTGAATAGGATTTTGATTTACTAAAGGGAAAAATGTCGCTATAGGTATAGCCCAAAGGTAGAGGGCCTGCTTAGCCTGTATGAAGCCCTGGGTTCAATCCCAATTCCCAGCAAAATATAAACAAAATATAAATAAAAAATAAACAAAGAAATGATTAGCAGTGAGCAAACCATAATCATGTTAACCCACTGACTTTATTTATTTAAGGAGATAGTGATAATCTAAAAACAACATCATAAATTTTATTATTTCTGTAACATGTCTTTGAACATTGCTGGCATGACTTTGAATGTTGTTTAAAAAATTAATTATGGTAATACATGTTAAAGTGTGTTATAAATGTTAAAGGGAGAGTATAGATAGTGTTACAATCACTTTCCCTACAATTTAGATGTAGTTTTGTTCATTAGAAAAGTGAAAGTATGGCAGGTCTGAAATTTGACTATAAAGTCCCTTGTCTTTATTGATCTAATTATTCCTCAGGGCATTTCACATTTACCAAAGCGAGGATACCAATATTTGACTTGGTTCCAGCTGTTTCTTTCTGCTCACTCTGCTCTGGCCCAGAGTATACCCAATTATCACGAGGCCATAAAGAGTCTGTGTATGGCAGACTGTACTAGATTAACCTATCAGTTAGTTCAGTGGATTAAAACACTCATTAGCTTACTTTGAGGAAAACCCTTCTTCTTTTCCTTCCATGGCTGCAAGGAGAGGACCAAGGAGTAACAGCTGGGAGGGGGAAACGAATTGGTAAATTGAACATTAACACACAATCCCAGTTGGAAGCACTGAATAAAAAAGTCCCTTGGTAACTCTTTCTAGTAAGAATCCAGTTTTATAGTTTGCTTCTCTAGATCTCCTGTCCGTTGAACTGTGAGCTACTCTAGATCTTCTGTACATGATGCATCCTCCTTTATCATATGGGACATAGCATACTAGGTGTCTCTAACATTTTAATTATCAATTATAATCCATTTACTCCTAACTCCTGTAAGCCTCTGCTTGCACCTTAAGAAGTGCTTTTTTTTGAAGAAAAGAGACAACATCTTTTAATAATAGAATCTCTCTCAAAACACACACACACACATACACACACACACACACTCACACTTACACATGAGTTCTTGGCTATACTTCTAAGCAGGAAGCTATGAAGCCCAAATACTCTTGTGCTGAGTGTTTTAATCCACTTGACTAATTAACAATCTTTATTGGCTATGGGGTCACTGGGCATAAAAGGTAATTAGTTCACATCAAGGACCGTAATTAGTATACAGAAGGAAAATGGGCTCTACTGTCTGTTAGGGAAAGATGAAGGGGAACTAAACAGGCAAAAATGTACTCTTTCATGCCTCTCTTAAGATTCAGGTTTCAAAAACAAAGATGGTAACGGAAACAGTGACGGAGAGTAGCTTTCACTCAGTGTACAGAGGTGTCCAGCACTGAGCGAATATTTCATGTAATTACCATATGTAATACAGCGTCATTCTGTAATCAGTATCAGTAGGTACCATTTCAAAAATGAGGCTGAGAAATACACGTCCAGTGGCATGGAGTGGGATCTTAACTCAGGTCTCTGTGACTCCAGGACCTGATCTTCAACCCCTATTCTCCCAACCTCCAGCTCTGTCTTCTGAGGGACCGCAAGGCCCCCTCTCCAGCACAGCACACCCACAGACTGCTCCACTGTAGCCCGCTTCCCTCCCTACTGTCCCCGGGTATGATCTTCAGGTCGAAACCACTGCTCTCTTGGGTGGGGTGCAGGCTACAGTCACCCACTGGTCGCATGCCTGTCCCGTGTCACTCCTTCCTTCCCCCAAACATCCAGATAACACATGAGGTAACAGTTTTCAAAGCCTGGCTGAGCAGGGGTTTGAGCCCCATACCTCAGTTTAAGCACCCAATGAGTCAGCAAACTGTGGCAGGCCAAATCCAGTCCATCCCTGCTCTTATCAATAACATAAACACAGTCATTTATTTACCAGTGGTTGCTTTTGTTTACACAGCAGAGGTAACTGTTTCAGGGCCCCTGAGGCTTGCAAAGCCCAGATTATTTACTATTTGCCCCTCACAGAAGATGTTTGCTGACTGCTGATGGAGGGCACAGGATGGCTTTTTTGGCTGAGGTGGGAGGGCCTCTGATGAGGGTGGTCTTAAACCATTTTAGACTGAGAGCCTATCACCTTACCACCTTACCACTGCCCTGTGTGGGATTTCAGTACTTTCTTCTTCCTCATCACCCTTGCTGTCATTTATGCGACTAGTGCTGGACTAATCATCTTTACACACATTATCTCATTTAATCCTGTAACAGTCCTATGATGTATATGTGCCCGTTGTCCCTGCGTTATAGGTAAAGAAATTGGGATTTGAAAGATTAAGTACCCTACCACTGGAAGGGACCATCAGTCACGAAGGAGGAAAAGGACAAGGATAGATGAAGAGAGATCATTTGATAACCTGAAACAGGCTACATTCATGTAGGTGCTCACCTTTCGTTTGACAGTCAAGCACTGCCAATGAAACAGCCTCCCTGTGACTCAGTCACGTGTTGTGGCACACATCTGTGATCCCAGCACTTGGAGGCTGAGGCAGGAGGATTGCCATGAGATTGAGGCCAGCCTGGGCTACACAGTGAGTTCAAGTGAGTTCAAGGCCACCCAGAACTACACAGTGAGACCCTGTCTCAAAGACATAAAACAAAACACAAAATAAAGCAAAACATTTAACACAATGATCTTCTGTTCAGCCCATAAAATACTGTTTATTTGGCGCAGAAAGGGGCTTTTAAAAAAACTCTCTTTTTAGTCTTTTCCCCACCACAGCTGAGACGCAGGAAACCCTGTCTCCTATGGAAGCCACATTCACACCTATAGGTCCATTCTTCAACCTATAGAGAGGCAATTGAGTTACAAACACTTCTGCACCTCAAGTGACCTAGAGTGACCATCCAAAATCAAATCATTCTTAACTAGAGGTCTTGGTTACTTCTCTTTCTAGTTGCTTGATGGGGGGGTGTGCTCCCCCTAGAGGTCAGTTTGAGGAATTGCTACATTGCCTCTCCCTTCTTACAAAGAGCATTGCTAAAAACAGAATGCTATTTGATAGGATCCTCTAGGTACCAGCAGAGAAAAACCGGCCTCTGCCCCGCCCACTTCATGAGCTGGCTGTGTTTGTGAGCCAGGACAGCTTCCCCAGCTCTGCACAGGAACCAGGTCACTCCACATGCATGCAGCAGGCAGCAGACGGGTTTGGGAGCTACTCAGTACGGCAGTCAAGTGCCTATGTTCAAGTACTGCTCTAGTAATTACATGTTGTGACATTGGGCAAATCAGCAGACCTCCACATATGTCTGTTTCCTCCTCTGTTGTAAGGATTGTATGAAAGACTTAAAACCTATCTCTTTGTTATTATCATTATTAGCTGTACAGCAGCAGCAGCAGCAGCAGTAGTGACAGTGGCTATCCTAGTGACCAAGACACTAGTAGCAGCATTTACCAACCTCTAGAACAGCTGGGATGATCTTAGTGTACTTATTATTTATGTTGCCCTTTTAACAAGAAAATCACCAGAGTGCTGATTTCTTTTCTGTTACTTTTGTTTTTTAAATTTTTTTTTATTTTAAAGAGTAAAAGAAAGATAACATAATAATAGGGGGGGCTTACCAAAATACAGACAAAGTGGTAGGAAATTATCAATGGTTATTGTTTTATATATTGTTATCTGTAAGATAGTTTCTAAGGAAAACAAATAGACAAATAACAGTGAGTTACAGACAATAGAGGTAGGAGATTATCAATAGTTGTTGTACTATGCTTAGGTATCTTCAAAGTGGCTTCTAAAGAAAATAAATAGAACTATACATGAGTGACCTGTTGAATTCATTAACTATTCTCAATGGTTGTTGTAGGAAACACATAATAATAAACATGCATCTATTTATGAAATAAGATACCAACAATACAAACATTACAGAGTTATGGATAGATTAGTAGGAAAATATCAATGACTGCTTTAATACATGGTGGTATCTTCGAAGTGGTTTCTCGAGAAGAGAGACATATGCAAGAAGGATCTACCAAGTAGTTACAACCTAAGGGTTGTCAAAAATCAAGTAGCCATCTGGGACCAAAGCCATTTTTTGTAGCGTTTTCTCTCCAGCCTCCCATTGCATTGGGACCCCACAACCAGTTAGTGTCCTCTCCCTAGCTGTCAGCACAGGCAGAAGGAATCCTGCTGCAGACTTCTCGGGAGCTCCACCATAGCCTATACTGTCAGGGGAAGAATGGCTTCCAGGGAGTCTCTGCAAGTATTGTGCAAGGTCCTCCTGGTTTCCACCTTCTGAGTGGCTCTCATGAACCCAGTCCTCAGGACCTCTGACCCCTCGGGCTTAGTCTGCATTCTCATGTTCTCTGAGTCCTTGTTCAGCAGCTGCTCCTCCGCTGACTCTAGACCTTTCTAGTTCTCAATGGCAGGAGCAAGAGTGGCCCCTTTGTATGGCATGTATTCCCAGGGGTTTTTCCATTTGAATGTTTCACACACGTCCCAGGGTGGGCATCTGCAGCCAGTGCATGGTGGGCCAATTGTGTCATTATTTCTCTGTGTCATGATAGTTTTCAATTGAGCGGCGGCAGCCGGCCTAAGGGCCGGAGGGCAACAGCGCTCGCCGCCCCATGGTTCCTCGTGCGCCGGGGGGCCCTCCCTCCGGGGGCCTATGAGGCAGGAAGCTAGCTGGCCATTGGAAGACCGGTGCTCCCTGCCCGTGGCTCCCCGTGTGCCGGGGGCCCTCCCTCCGGGGGCCCTAGAGTGCTGATTATATAACAAATCAAGTTGTCTGATCACCAGTCTAATCCACTTCATGTGTCCATGCTGCCTTACTTACACCTCTTGCTCATTGCTTCTACTTTGTAGAAGAGTAATTAATGTTCAGGAAAAAATAATGTAGTCTTTTAAATCATGATGGAGAAATTGGAAATGCTTTCTAGAATGAAACAGTCCCAGGCATTTCCAAAGAGCCAAAGAGCTATTTAGCTTTCACACTCCTGTGGAAGTGTATTTCTGGGAAAACTGTGCACTTGGATGACCCAAATGGCAAGGAGCACTATTTACAAACTGACAAAAACACATAGTAAAAAAGTTCTCTCTTTTCATTTCAGATCTTCCTCAGTGTCTTAGTAGGAGCTTTAAATCTTGGGAATGCATCTTCTTGTTTGGAATCCTTTGCCACTGGGCGTGCAGCAGCTGCCAGCATTTTTGAGACAGTAGACAGGGTATGTAAAAGGCCAACTGAAAAGCCATTAAAAGTTGGGGGGTGGTGAATTCTGACAGGCAATTACCGCTATGATTCAAAGTATGAAGATTTATCAACATGCACTTAAGTAGGCAATACTTCCTGACCATCATTATGAGCTGCACCCAATTCCAAGAGCTGTACATGGAACAATGAACTAGAAAAAACAGTCCCCACTCTTGTACTCAGACTGGGAGACCCAGCCCAGGAAATTAGCACATTCAAAGACAAGTGCTAAGTCAGATGAAGGAAACAACAGAATAATGTGAGCAGGTGCAGCGGTACAGGCCCACAGGGCCAGCTAGTTGGGAGGCTGAAACAGAAGAATCACAAGTCTGAGGCCAATCTGGGCAACTTAGTTTTTATTAAAAAGAAATAGGATTGGGATGTAGCTCAGTAGTAAAGCATGTGTGAGGCCCTGGGTTTAACCTTTAGTACAGCAAGGGGAAAAAAAATTGGGCAATATGACCACGACTGGGGTGGAGGAAAGAATCTTTCAATTGGGTGCATGGAAAGTGAAAGCAGGGAAGGAATCTCAGGAAGAGAGAGCTCCAGGCTATGGTGATCTCAAGGAGCTGAAAGAAGACCAATGTGAATGAACAGAGTAAGAAAGGGGCTGAAGCTAGAGGGATGGGAAAGGCCAGGGCATGTAGGGCTTTCAGACCCTAGTTCATAAACTGGAGTATCTTCATAATGTGGCAGAAAGTCTCTATAAGTTTACAAACGATCTTGGTAGTCTGGGTAGGGTTGTACAGGGTAATCTGCAGCACATCAGAGGTCAAGTCAGGGAGTTATATCTAAGGAGAAGGAAGAAGATGGTAATCTATTGCTCTTTCTCTTGGGGAAGTTACTCTGGGCTATAAGTCAGAAGCTCTGAGAATCAGGTGCTTCATGGATCCCCTAAACCATAAATATTTTATTTTTGAAAAACAATGAGGCTGTAATCTACCTATGGAGACCATTCATCATTTTACCTGCTTTATGTTATAGAGTTTCATATCCTGGGATATAGTGAGATTGTTTGAAACCATATAAAAATGATTGACTTTATTAAATTCAACTTCATTCTTAGAGCTATTATATGCAAGGACCCTGTAAGGGCGCTATTCACAGCAACATCAGTGAAACACAGGATATCAACTGGAAGTCAGTAGTAGCTGAAGACGTTGTTTGTAGACACTTAATTTTAATCATTTGCAATGGATACTCAAGTGTAGAGTATGACGGGCTCCAGTGTAGTTGACTAGTTCCTTTAGTTGCAATGGCCTTAGCCAAGAACAATCTCTCTGAGATTCCTTCACTTCCTTAGCTGAAAAATGGGCACAGGACCATGGTTAGGTTCTGATGACAGTTATATAAATGAAAAAAGCACCATAAAACACCTGGACATTGCCCTCCATAATAAAATCTAAGTAATATGATTAATGTATAGTATATAATATATTATAATAAATATTAATATATTAATACTGTTATATATTAATAAATTATATATTATCATATTATATAATATAAATAATATGTAATATCTCATAGTAGTAACTCTATAATAGTAATTGTATAACAATAAACTCTAGCATCTATTATGTTAATACCTGACATTTAATATATAGTATTACAGTTATATCTCACAGTATTTTAGTAGTGGTTATCACTATTATGAATAAGTATTTAATGTGGAAACTACTTGTGGAATATCTCTGCAGGGTTTTAACTGGTTATTTGTTCATTTTAATGAAATAACTCAAAGTAAGATGAATAGTAAACTTATATAAGGTGTGTCCTTACTACACACCTCTTGAATTTCACTCCAGAAACCTATCATTGACTGCATGTCCGAAGATGGTTATAAGCTTGATCGAGTCAAGGGGGAAATTGAATTCCACAATGTGACCTTCCACTATCCTTCCAGACCAGAGGTGAAGGTGAGTGCCAGCCTTTGCCCTGGGAAAAATGAACATTTGCTTCTTTGATGATTCATGTCCAGAGATTCATGTCATGCTTGTTTTCTGAGGCCTGACTCAGTTGCCAGGAATAGGGGACAGAGGTGTGTTTCTCTGGAAATGTCCTGGGGTGTTGGGCCATCTTAGGTGAAATGCACCATTCCTTTGTGATAGCTGTATGATGCAAAGCCCTCTGGTTTGAAGGCAGTCTAGCAGACCATACAGGTTAAGTCAGCTCTGTTGTACTCTGTTGAAATGATTGGTAGATCCTGTTATTCTAAGCACACAGGAAATAGACTGCAAGGCAGTCAAAGCATTCTTGTTTTCAGAGACTGCAGAAGGTAGTGAGCTCTGCCTAGGTAGATATAAGTAAGTGAAAACTGGAAGCCACAATTGCTAGCTTCTTACTTCCCATCTGTGAGCTCACCAGGATCCTTAGTCCTCACAGAGGATGAGTAGGTGGTATTGTGATAGGGTGTCTTGTACTAGGTGATTTTCTGGGCCACATGGTGAAGTTACAGTTTTCCTGTACCTACAAAGCAGGATCTTTAAATGCAACATGCTATATAGGAAAATTAGGATTTATGCCCCCCAAATAAATTGGCATTGGAATGAAACTTTTTATTAATTTTTAATAGAGTAACCCTGGTCTCTTTTTCTTAATATTTCTGTTATCCCCATAGAACTAAACCATATCTTGTTAACCTAAATTTATTCTGATACTATATACTTAAAATGTAGGTATGTATATGTGTAGAGTGCATATATATGTGTGTGTGCATGACATATATAGAAAAAGGCAAATATGTGTATAATGTAGGTAAATATTTTTACCTGCATTATATATACCTGTTATATAAATATATAAATATATGTACAGTAAATATATAAATATACACTGTATTTATCCATATTGTATATATTAATCAAAAGTAAATATATATACATTCTGATTATTTATTTGGAGTGTATTCTTTATTATGTTAGGTCCGTACCTACACATCAAATGCTATAGTGCATCTACAAGTGCTTTGTAATACTCAGTACATACTTATGAATGGAGGGCTTAAAACTTTCTTTATGCTATTTGGAATCATCTTATCACAGCTGCTCAGCAAATACTCGTTGAATTGTGGCACCAATTTCATTTCTGTTTATCTTTTATGCCCAACACCAATAATTCGCTTTAATAACAATTCCCTATCCAGACCCATAAAACTTCTTCATTCATGCCACGAGTATGTATTGAGCCCTGCTGGGCAACGTATCCCACCGGGACTGTAACAATAAGAAACACACTCCTTGCCCTCCCTGTTCCTGCGAACTTACAGACCAATACAGACCAGGAAGCTGAAATGAATTTGCACGCTTGACTCGCTAATGTGAAATGAATGAGATTTTGTCACTCAGAAAACCCTAAACCACTTTTATACAATCAGTACAAAAATCACCTCTCATTGGTGAAAATATCTAGCAGATAGTTATGACTGAGCTGTTCTTTCTTGTTCTTGGGGCCTACCACTACTCAGTCCCTTCTGTTCCAAGTGCTTTGGATCTAGCTTATCATAAATATTTATTAGGCAAATTTATTCAAATAGTATGCACATATCACATAAGTATACGACAGCTTAAAAATCTGCAAATTGGTTTGTTGTTAATCTTTGGTCAGTACATTAGCATTATACTCTTACTGGGTTTTTTCTTTAATTGGGACAGTCTCCTTCAGGTATCCTACAGTAGGTCAGAAGTGTTTTAAATTAGATTTTGGAGCATAATTTTAAAAGTCAGCCTGACTTACTTACTTTACCAGTGTTAACACTCATCATCTTATTTGTTGGCTGCAGCTCTCAAGTAATGTGTTAAATGCTAAAACATCATCCTAGGCACTGCTGCTTTTTGCTGGTTATCGATGGCTGTGGGTGGATGGATGGATATTGTTGTGGGGGCATAAGTGTCCTCCCCACAGGCATGCTAACTTGTAGCCTTGTTGTCTGATCAGGTACACAGTGACAATCTGAACTTCTTAATTTTCTTTCCTCTCCAGATTTTAAATAACCTCAGCATGGTCATTAAACCTGGGGAACTGACGGCTCTGGTAGGATCAAGTGGAGCTGGGAAAAGCACAGCACTACAGCTCATTCAGAGATTCTACGACCCCTGTGAAGGCATGGTGGGTGTCTTCTGGAAACTCTCAGCTCCTGGGGATGGGGGAATGCAAATGGTGACATATTATCAAACTCAGTTTGACTGGATTGATGGGACAGACTCCCTGCATGGTGGCAGATCAGTGGATGGCCAGTCCAGTCCATTTGCTGAGTAATCACCAAAGGTGCAGACATGTTTGGACTGATATTGCTACTTTTTCAGTGAATTATCAATTCTATCTTTTTTTTTTTTGTAGTGTAGCAAAATCATTATTTATTCCCTTGACAGCCAAAAGAGAAATTTACAGAAAATAGTCTTGATTACTGTTATGAAGTTTAGGTTTTTTTAAAAAAATTTATGTATAATTTCACAAACAACTAGTTTGTTTTGCCTTATTCTTATTTGAGTAAATATAGACTCATGAAACTAAAGAAATAAATATTAATAATTCTCATAAAATGATTCCTTATTTTCATAATGAGCACCTGCGCCCCAGCACATATGCCTGTTTTTCTTTTTTCTTTTTTTGGTTTTTTTTCCGGTACCGGGAACTGAACTCACGACCTTGCGCTTGCTAGGCAGGCGCTTTTGCCGCTGAGCTAAATCCCCAGCCCCATATGCCTGTTTTTCAAATGAGAAAGCAGAGTCAGAAAGATTGAGACTTTTCAGCTAGGTTATTCAACTAGGACATGACCAAGCAGGGATTTGAACTGAGGTATGTGGATGCCAAAGCACAGGCTCTTTATCTCAAAGGCATTTCTGTCAGCATTTCCTTGGTACTTTGAGATAGACTTACTTTGACTGTGGATTAGTGGTGTCACTGCAATGAGTTCTCTATCAGGCATACAATGGCAAACGTTGTATGCATACAATAGCAAACATCACTGCAGTGAGTTCTCTATCAGGCATACAATGGCAAACATCATGAGGTTTTCTTTCTATGTGGACATTTCCTTTTCAGTTGGTATTCTACTACATACTGCCATACCACCATAATAACTATAAACCACCATAATAACTACCTACCACCATAATAACTTTGAATATTTTTAAAAATCATGATTTTTGTGTCAGAGTTTTACATTTTTCCTATAGTGATTTTTGTTTCTTCCCTGTAATGTCTCCAACTGATTTTGAACAGCAAAGTGTTATTTGATGAATCTGATCAGAATTGAGTTACTATAAAGCACATATGTAAGATATGGCAAGCTCAAGGTCATGAGTTCGATTCCCGGTACTAGGGAAAAAAAAAAAAAAAAGATAAAGACCAGTCCTTTCATCCCATTTTTGATGTTCCTTTTTGGTCACAAGTCAAAAGATAACAAGAATATTCAAAGTATGGTGAATGACTGCTTACTATTTACTGAGAAGCTTAAAATGTGTCCATTCTTGGGGCAGCAGTTAAGTCATGACCTTTACATCATATATGTTTCAGCAATGACGTATCCTGCAGCTAAACTTAACTTCAGTTACATGCTGTCGTTTTTATATAAGCAACCGCACTTTAGGAGGAACTGTTTATCATGATCTTGTCCATCTCTATCTTTTCCCTGCTGTGGCTGAGTAACACCTTTGTTCTGACTCAGAACCCTGGAGGGTTCCCAGCAGCGTGATATTGTTCCCATGCTCCCTAGGTGACTCTGGATGGCCATGACATTCGCTCTCTTAACATCCAATGGCTGAGAGATCAGATTGGGATTGTGGAGCAAGAACCGGCTCTGTTCTCCACCACGATTGCAGAGAATATCCGTTACGGCAGAAAAGATGCAACAATGGAAGATATCATCCAAGCTGCCAAGGAGGCCAATGCCTACAACTTTATCATGGACTTGCCAGAGGTACCCCTGGCCTTGTACTTTAGCAAGTCATTATACAAAACAAGTCACACAATAATACATACTTCTTTTCTACTGAGTCCTGACTCATTATGTTCTTAATATCATGCTTTACTTTCAAGGTTGGAAATGTACTACGAGTTTTCCCTTTCTTCTGCAACTATGTTGTTTCTATGTTTAAAATGTACCAAATGAGGGAAGTTTCTGTTAAAAATCTTCCTTTAATTTTAGCTATAATTTCCTTATTCTGTAAACATGTGTGTAAGTATGCTAACTTTGTCATGTGGCAGTACTTGTATGGTGCTCTTGATGTCTAACATTATCATTATTCTTTGGTTTTCTTGTTCTTGGACAACTTAAGTACTATGTTGCACAACCGCATCTCACATATGCAAAAACAGTTCCTCATATCTCTTCATTCTACACAACTATTCCTACAAAGCCCAACTCTGTATTATTATGTTTATGTGGATTTTGCATTGATGGTATGCTAAATCAAAGGAAGATTATTGATAAGTAGCATGTTTATATTACAAGCACTGTTCTAGCATTTTACCTCTATCAACTCATTTAACTCTTATAACTACCCTGTCATGTAGCAATTATTATTATTTTCATCTATAGATGGAAGACTAGGGTTTTCAGGGGTCAATAATTTGCTCAAAATGATACACATAGGCAGGAAAAACAAGATTCATACCAGGTGTTCTGGTTCTAGACTCAGTGATCTTGAACATGTCCTATTCAGCCTTCTAAATTACCTTATGAGTCTATCTAGAACATATAAAGAATTAAAAAACATCAGCCCCCCCCCCAAATTCAAAGACCCAATCCAGAAATGGGCAGTTGAGATGAATACATTTAAGCTTCTCAGATAAAGAAATACGAATGTCAAATAAATACATGAGAAAGTGTTCAACCTCATCAGTCATTCGAAAAATGCAAATTAAAACAACACTGAGATTTCATCTCACCCCAGTAAGAATGGCTATCATTAAGAAATCAACCAATAACAAATGCTGGTGAGGCTGTGGAGAAATAGGAA